TACCTGTGTGTGAGATATATGCATGATACATGTTTGATACATGTGTCGCAGCAGACTTTTTTGAACTCGATTTAATTACGAATTTTGATACGAAACCAGTCCAAATCACCTCCAATCTTCCTCAAATTTTGTATATTGAATTATCTATATATTTTCAATGAATTTCAATTATACCCATTGAAAAAGTTCCTTTTTTGCTTAGATTTTTGGAATATTGTATAGATTTTTGTATTTCATCACCTTATTTGCTACCCCGTCCATGAAATTTCCTTTCCGTCTTGTATCTAATGTTGCTAATCACGCTTAAAAATATGTAAGGTGATTTTTGCATGTGATTCTTTGATAGAAAGAACCCTATTATTTGGTTTTTCAATTTTTGTTGGCTAGTTTTGGTAAGTCTATGACTAATGGCTAGAGGTTGGTAAATTAAGATTTATTTGGGACATTTGTGTAAGTTTCCCTTTAAAATAGGGGCAAGGACAGAAAGGCCCAAGCACCAAGAAGTATCGTAAAAATAGCACGGGCTAGCCAGTTTTCGGACTGGTCATTCAAAATAGCCAGCATTTGCAAAGCCATTGAAAAATAGCCACTAAATTAAAGGGCCAATGAAACCGCACCACGTGTGTAACTGACATGTTCTGGCCAATCAAATGCGGTCATGTCACACTTCAATTTGATTGGTCGGAAAGAGATTGTTCTTATCATAACTCTTCCCTCCCACAACTATAAATAGGGATCTTTATAACCCAGAAAAGACACCAGAAGTTATAACAAGAAGCAAAAAAGAGCTCGTGGATCAAACGCCGCAAATTTCTCTACAAGTTTCAAGCTTCAAGCAATCAAGTTCAAGTTCAAGAAATCGAGTTCAAGCTCAAGAACGAAGAACAAATCAAGTTCAAGATCAAGAACGAAGAACAAATCAACATTCAAGGAGTACGAGTTCAAATCAAAGTTCGTGCTAATTGAATTCAAGATCATCGTTCGTGGTAGCAACTACATGTTCAAGATCAAGCTCAAAGGCCCTTGAATTTATTTACTATTGGAAAGAAGAATCAGAGGATTCATAGAGATTGTAACACTCAAATATTTGAAATAAAATACTACGATTGTTGCAATATTTTTCGGTCTTGATTTTATTTTCTCGACGCAAATTTATTATCTACAACTACATAATATATCATGATTACTGGTGAATCATGTTATAATTTGCTTGAGTATGTTAAATGGCATTCACAGTATCCTTTGGTATACTATATCGTATACTATGTAGTATGTCATGAGGTATACTGTATTTTATACTATGATTACTGCTAAATTATTATTCAACAAATATACTTTATTTTATGTTAAATGTTATTCCCAATATTATTGGTATGCTTTATAGTATACCATGATTACATTTGAATCGTGATATATTGTTAATTACTGGTATATTAAGTGGTGTCCAAAATATTCTTTGTATATAGTATACCATTATAGTATATCATTGTAGTATACCATGGTTATTGTTGAATTATGGTATACTATGATTATTGGTATATTGAATGGCCTTCTCAATATTTGTGGTATACTATACTATTTACTATGATTACTGTTAAATTGTGGTATGCTTTATTTTTGTATATTAAGTGGTAGTCAAATATTTGTAGTATAGTATGTAGTATACCGTGATTACCATTGAATCGTGGTATTCCTTGTTTGAGTACATTAAATTATATTTTTAATATTCTTGGTATACTTGATATACCATGACTCAATAATCAGGGTATTCCTAGTATTTTCAGTATACTTTGTTTGAGTATCGTAAATGGTTTTTTTAATATTCTTGGTACATTACACATTGATATACCATGATTACTGTTGGATCATGGTATACTTTATTTGAGTAAGTTAAATAGTATACCAAATATTCGAGGGGTAAAGCTGTGCTAGAGGCTTGAGTTGAGTTTGGAGCATTCGAGGTAAGTGTTTGGTCTAACTTTGGCTTGAGGGAATAGGAGTAGAGTCTTTTTGTTGCTAATTGCTATTTGTCGAGTACGGTGTATAGGCATGGTGACGAGTATCTATACACTGGTGTCGAGCATGACCGTGAGTCCTAATTTGCTATATTATCGAATCCTTAATTGTTGTTTATGAGGACTTGGTTAGAAATCTTTAACACTGAGCCAGTAATTGTTGAGACTGAGTATTCATTTAATTGTGTTAAGTAGAAATTGAATAATTTCGGTTATAGCTGGATCTCCCTCTCCGGGATAGTTTATTATAACATCTTTTCTCCCTTGCCGGGATTATTTTGTGTATTGTGTTGAGAGAAATGGGATCGAGTGGTACGCCTACCACGTGTTATTATGAAATGGGATCGAGTGGTACGCCTACCACGTGATATTATGAAAAGGGATCGAGTGGTACGCCTACCACGTGTTATTATGAAATGGGATCGAGTGGTACGCCTACCACGTGATATTATGAAATGGGATCGAGTGGTACGCCTACCACGTGTTATTATGAAATGGGATCGAGTGGTACACCTACCACGTGATATTATGAAAAGGAATCGAGTGGTACGCCTACCACGTGATATTATAAAATGGGATCGCGTGGTATGCCTACCACGTGTTATTATGAAATGGGATCGAGTGGTACGCCTACCACGTGATATTATAAAAAGGGATCGAGTGGTACGCCTACCACGTATTATTATGAAATGTGATCGAGTGGTACGCCTACCACGTGATATTATGACATGGGATCGTGTAGCACGCCGACCACGGGATATTATAAAATGGGACCGGGTTGCACGCCTGCAACGAGAGGAAATTGAAACAAGTGAAAGTGGTTTGTTTTCCCTTATTCCGTGCTAGACGTAATCATATGTAGTCTCTTTGTTATTCCTGATATTCTGTCTTATCCGCTACCCCGTAAGCATGTTCCCCTCCCAGTGTTGTTATTTTCCGCTATTATTTTGTTGTACTTGCATATATATATATATATCTGTACAGGTTTATTTGGTAGTCTGGTCTAGCCTCGTCACTACTTCGCCGGGGTTAGGCTAGGCACTTACCAGCACATGGGGTCGGTTGTGCTGATGCTACACTTTGTGCATCTTTATGCATAGATCCAGGTGTTGGAGCAGCATTCGAGTAGCAGTAGCATTCTGGGAGCGAGCTCTCAGCCCAGGGACATTCGAGGTAGCCTTGCTGACGTCCGCAGGCCCGGGGTCCCTTCTATTTTATTCAGTTTGTTATCACTTGTACCGAAGCAAACAATATTGTATTTTGTTCAGACTTTGTATGTAGTATTCTGTAGACGTTCGTGAGTTAGTGACACCAGTCTTGGGTAGAGGATTTTAGTTAAACTTCCGCATTTCTTTCGGTTAATCATATTGAGACTTCCTCGTATTTATTAAATGTTTTATTGTTCCTAATATTGTCAGAGTTCGTTAAAAGAGGTAGTTGTTAATTGGCTTGCCTAGCTCTCATTAGTAGGCGCCATCATGGCCCCCGAGGGTGGGAAATCCGGGTCGTGACAACTGGTCAATCAAAAATCGCCAGCTTTACCAAGTCAATGAAAAATAGCCACCGTTTTGCTGCAATAGAGACCGGTCCAGCATAGTATACTGGAGTTCGGTGCACTTGTGTATGAACTCCAGCATATTATGCTGGACCGGTATACTTTGCTGGCTCCAATATAATATACTGGAGACTGGAGCACTGGTGCTCCAAACTCCAGTATATTATACTGGACCTAGCGTATTTATGCTGGAGTTCCAGCATACTATCCTGGAACTCCAGTATAATATGCTGGAGTTCAAGTATACTTATGCTGGAACTCCAGCATAATATACTGAATATTTTTCGGGTTTTGAACAATGTTTTCGCTCAGATTTATCTTTATATAAAAAGTGGCTAAATTTCGATTACTTTTGAAATTGGGCTATTTTTGAACGACCAGTTGTAAATCTGGCTAATTTTAAAAATCTCCCGTGTCATTTCTGCCGCACTTATACAAGCCCATGTCGCTTAATTTTTTTTTTTTTGGTGCTTGTCTAGCTAAAAATTCATGTACTTTCCGTTTAAGAAGGTTAATATTTTTCAATTTTTTTTTTGTGTGAGTTCGAAATATCCGGTTTTTTCTTTAAAAAAGTTATATACTTAAAAAATGTGTCAAAAGTATTTCATAACTTTTATAAGTATTTAAAAGATGTTTAGAAGTTAAATAAAAACAATTTGTTGGATGAGGAGTTCTAACACAAATGCGTAGTATTTTTTTCATAATAATGCATCATATTAGAATTTAGATATTTTATAGTAAAAACTTACTTGTATTTGGTGTTTACATTAAATTATACTAATTTACCATGATTAAAAAATAATTAAGGTAAAAATATCTATTAATTAACTAATAATTTAGTGATAATAATATTTGCGAAGACATGTATTATGTGTTCATTGAATTGGTATAAATATCAGAATTGGATAAATTTTTACCAACTTTCGACATGCCTATATTTGCCAAGATTAACTTTTCATTTACATAACGAACTAGGAAAGTTTCATGAGGCCAATTATTATTCTATTTCAAAAGAAAATGTTAACCCCTGATCAATTTGGATTACTGTAATTTATCTGTAGGAAAAGATCAATCGACAACACTAGTTCTTTACACCCAGTAAATTGTCCTCTTTTGCGGTTAATAATAATTCTCCTTAAGCAAAATATGAATAGAAGAAAATTAGATTCCGCATCAAAGTTACCCTCTTTTATCTCATGGAAAAGCACAATCCGCACCTATACACAAAGCTGCACTCCGCGCCGTAGATTATATTTCAATCAACGATTCATACCAGTTTCCACCTTTCACACGGATCATCATTATTATCCGTCGATTAACAGCCAAATCCCCCCAAAATTTAGCGGCTACGATTTTAGCCCCGCCACATTTCAAACCGCCCACGAAATCCACGACGCCCAAATCCACCATATATAAATACCTACCACCCTTCACTTCTAAAATCATCGAATACATTTCATTTCTGATTTCATTTCAAATCCAAAACCCTAGAAGCTTCTTTTATCTTCAAATTTCTGTGTGAAAATGTCTGGTCGTGGAAAGGGAGGAAAGGGATTGGGCAAGGGAGGAGCTAAGAGGCACAGGAAGGTGCTGAGGGATAACATCCAGGGAATTACGAAGCCCGCAATTCGTCGGTTGGCTCGTAGGGGAGGTGTGAAGCGTATATCTGGTCTGATCTACGAAGAGACACGTGGAGTGCTGAAGATCTTTCTAGAGAACGTGATTCGTGATGCTGTTACCTACACTGAGCACGCCAGGAGAAAGACTGTTACTGCTATGGATGTTGTTTACGCACTCAAGAGGCAGGGCAGGACTCTCTATGGATTTGGTGGTTAGGTTGTTTAATTTGTGATTTTAGGTTAGTGTACTGGTAGTAATTGTAGATTTTCTGGAAATTTCTGGTATCTCTGTGTTGGTTTCTCAGCAGCTTTGTTCTAGTTGTCGTTCTTAAGGTCTTGATATTGTAATTTCTCATTGCAGATTCAAGGAACAAAGTTCGTTTTCTAGAAATTATAATGGTTGAATTCTGGCTCGCTGTTGTTGTTAATTGATTGATTCACCTATCGAACGACTGTTCAGCTTTAAATTTCAGAAGGTTACACCGTTGAAATACATGAAATTGTTGAATTTCAAAAGAGTAGAAAAACCCAATCCAGTGTAATATGAGCACTGGAAATAAGTTGACTATATGCTTGTGGTCATTACTAAAACAGTTTCTCAAGCATTATTATCCATAGAAAAAGAGGAGACAACAGAAACCAAGATTACTATGAATATTCACATTTTCAATTGCTTTAGTCCAACCTGAAGTAATAATATGTCTGTAATCCCAAAACCAAAGAAAGAATATCACACAATTACGAATTAGTATACCTAAAGAATATGGGCTTTAGTGAGTGCATTCAGTGGAAGTTCTATTTTCATAACGAGCTGCTTCTACATTTTGATCAGTGGTTATCAAGTCTGCATTAGTTGGTTCATATAACTGGATCAATGTTATCCATTCCATCAACATCTTGATTAGGAACCTGTTCAATAGCGCCTCCAGCTTGATCATTAGGGACCTGTTCATTAGCGCCTTCACCTTGTTCATCATCAAGTTGATCATCATTATTCCAGTAAATAAGCTTGTCCCTGCCACAATTATACTAATCTGTATTAACACCATTATCAGATATGCATAGAGTTGCATTTGTAAGAAACTTACAATTTCATCAAGAATCTTCCTTCTTTAACATACGAGACCGGTTGTGGGACTCCAATCTGGAGAAAGGAATAAATTCTGTATATGAAAAAATATAAAAACTGCACATCCGAAAATCAAATCCTCTTTTGTTATTAGTATCTTACAAGTTTCCACCCTAGTAGCATTCCACATCTGATACAGTAAGCATCGGCTCTGGTATATCCATTATTTAGTCCAAGATATTTCTTGTCGTCAAGTACTTGTACATTAAACCTGCGTATATAAAGGTATTCAGAAAAATTGCATGTGTAGTTTTCAAAATTGCATGAAATTAGGAGACTTACACTTTATGGTAGATCCCTACAGTCAAGTATGACACCTGCAAAATGTACAAGACAAAAAATTGAGCATTATAACTGTTCTGTTCTTGGTCAAGAAATGTAAAAGAACAACGCAAGAGTACTGATTCAATGCTTAATCACAACTCATGAATCTTACAATATCCTCTTTATGGAATCAGTAGCGATTACATCAAAAGATACAAAATCGTTTTTCCTAAACGAATAGTTAAGTAAAACTCAACAGAAATTAATTAAATGTAGAGTATCAAAAGGAAATGTCTGTAGCCCACAAAACCATCTGGTGTGTTCACAAACAAATTCATACTGATCGAATTGCAAGGAAAACTCAGAATTCCAGGGTCCCAAAACGTAACATTCAACATAAAATACGAGTACTAAATAGTGAGAATCCATACGTTAGAAATGCGATCCTCGCGAAACGCAACTCGAGTTCTGCACATACAACAATGGATGTAATTGACAAGTGGATTCATATCGCATTCAACTAAAAAGAGTCTTCCCATTGTATCAACTTTTTGTATCAAGAAGCAACTCCTAATAGATATGTTTCAACTCCTGGACCTGTTACAGAAAAAAATTACTTACTTCAACAAAGATAAAAAATGGAACAGAAATAACAAAGATGCATGCTGAAAAATCGAGTTTATCAATGCAAAAAATGACTAGCTTCTAACCTGATAAAGAACGAAGCTGAAAAAGAATTTTGGTGATCAATGAGAATTCAAGAAAATGAAAAATGGATGGGATTTATAAGGGAGTGGATGCCTAATACTTTCTGAAATGCAGAAGACCAAATATAATGGGAATGAGAAAAGAATGTTAATATAGAAAATTCAGTTCTTGATTCTTGAATCCAAGTTCTGTTTAAACCGTTAATTCAGAGAGGAGGGAAATTTGAACCCAATTGAACAAATGTTGATAAATTTCCCTTTTTCTTTTATTCTTAAGAAGATTTTACAATTTACCCTCTAAATTATACATTATTTCAAATTTCTGCTGTCTTGTTGACATTTTACTTTGCCGCCTTCTCCATATGCACTTGACTTAAAAAGGTACTAAAGAGAAATACAGTTATATTTGGACTCGTCTCCTTTCCATATATATATATATATATATATATATATATATATATTAAAGCAAGAAAGTTACAATATATATATAATTGATAATATGGTTAAGCCAAGTGGCAAGCTAATAAATGTCAATAGTATATGGTAACTTTATTCTATATTTGACNTCCACCTTATCTCACCGCATGCGTTTCAACCCCAAAATCTTATACCACCGCATGCATATCAATATCACAACATATCACAAATTGCACCTGAAGTTCCCAATATCACAACTTGCCAAAGAAATCAACAATAATAGTGTTTTCACAATAAAGAGCTCATGGCTCAACCATAATGTACACAAGAGTCTCAACAATAATAACTGGAAGTGAATAACTCAACAAATTAATATTTCACAACTTAACACTTTGCCTCAATGTGAATCACGACCTTTATAACTCAATACTGGTTTCATCAACAAGATATTCCAAGAATAACGACTTCAAGTAAAGAATTCATGGTTAAATAATGAATAAGAAATAGAGGAAACAACAGCAACTTCAAATAAACATGTAGGGCAAATTAACAAGTAAGAAATAAGACAAGTAGAGCATGTGGAGATAGACTAGAAATGATGACTATAACATGTTAAGGTAACTCAATTAAGGCATGAAAGGAATCTACATAGCCAAACCGGTAAATTTTTCACATTTAGCCCGTGCACATACTCGTCACCTTGTGTGCACGACTTTTACACATCACAGTTATCACAAACAACACCAATCATAAGGGGTAAATTTCCCCACATAAAGTTAGGCAAAACACTTATCTCGATTCACGCTAATTCAATCCACTAGTAGGCCTTTCCCTCGATTATCCAACTCCGAACGGCTCGAATCTAGCCAAAATAACTTCATACCACAAATAGAAACTATATGAAACTATTTCGAAAAATAAAATTACGACCTTCGTAGGGAAATAAAAAGTCAACTCAAAAAGTCAATTCGGACCCACGTCTTGGAACCCGACCAATATTATAAAATCCTAACACTCATTTAATAACGAGTCCAACCATACAAGAATTACTCAAATCTGACCTCAAATCGCCTTTCAAATCCCCAAATTTTAGCCTAAGAAGTTTTCACAATTTTTCCTCAAACTTCCAACTCAAATCACTAATTAAATGATGAAATTACAATAGATTCGTGTAATTTAACCAAAATCGAGTTAGGATTTCTCAACCCAATGATTTCCTTGCAAATCTCCCGATAAATCGCCACAAACCGAGCTCTCTAGGTCCAAAAATGGATTATGAAACTCAAACCCTCGAAGACCCCTTTTCCGCCCAGGGATTCCGCATTTACGGCCTTTTAGGACTTGCGACGCCGCACCCGCGGATACCATCGCAGGTGCGGTTTCCACTTAGGCCATGATTTTCTGCTTCTGCGGACCAAACGCGCATCTATGCTCCCGCTTCTGCGGAGTAACACGCGCTTTTGCGCACTCGCTCCTACGGTCAAGGCCTGCTTCTGAAACAATAGACCAAGCTAGCCCCATCCGCATCTGCGACCACTTCTCCGCACCTTCGGACTCGCAGATGCGAAAAACTCCTCGCACCTGCGGACTCGTAGATGCGGAAAACTCCTCGCACCTGCGATCCCAGATGGTCAAGGCCAGCTTCGCTTCTGCTGCTCGAGGATTGCTTCTGCGATGCCGCACCTGCGACCAAAAAATGCACAGGTGTGATTGCCCCTAGTCCCAACAACACTTCAGCAATCAAACAGGTTCAAACTGTCCGGATCAATCCGAATTCACCGGGCCCGCCCGACTCGANCCTGGCGCCCCTCCGGTCCTTAAGGGTCTAGATTCAAAGAAATTCATTCAAAGGCCATTTCCCGAAGAAGCGGCGCTGAAACCTATCCCGAAGAAGTCCAGAAAGCCGAAACTCCCTAAATACAATGGCACATCCGACCCCAACGAACACGTCACCACGTATACCTGCGTAGTAAAAGGTAACGACATAAAGAGCGACGAGATTGAATCCGTACTATTGAAAAAATTCGGAGAAACGCTTTCAAAGGGGTCCATGATGTGGTACCATAACCTGGCCCCCGACTCCATAGACTCATTCGCCATGTTAGCGGACTCCTTGTAAAAACACAGGCCGGAGCCATTAAAGTAGCGACAAGGAAGTCCGACGTTTTCAAAATCAAGCAAAGAGAAAACGAAATGCTGCGAGAGTTCGTGTCCCGGTTCCAGATGGAACGAATGGAGTTACCACCAGTCTCCGACGATTGGGCGGTGCAGGCCTTCACCCAAGGCCTGAATGGACGGAGCTCCATGGCTTCGAAACAACTGAAATGAAATCTGATCGAATACCCAGCCGTAACCTGGTCAGACGTCTACAACCGGTACCAATCGAAGATCAAGGTAGATGATGCCTAGCTGGGGGGCCCCATCGGGCTCGGCGTACCCAAGCAAATTCCCGACAAAGGAGAAGGGCAAGCTTAGCCCTAGGTTCATTGGTCCATTTGAGATTCTCGACCGTGTGGGAGAGGTGGCTAATAGGCTTGCCTTGTCGCCTAGCTTGTCAGCCGTGCATCCGGTAGAGTTAGGATTTTCTATATTTTCTTGATTTAGACCTCGTTTTGGGGTCAAATTTGAAAACAAATTGTATATTCGGGCTCGTGGGTGAATGGGGGATTTGAAATTGGTTCGAACCTCGTGTTTTGACCAAGCGGGCCCGGGGTCGATTTTGGAATTTTTGGAAGAAAGGTTGGGAATCTATATTTAGGCATTGGGCTTGATTTATTTAGCTATTATTGATATTATAAAGTCGTTATTTCACAGATTTAATTGAGTTGGAGCCGAATTCGAGAGGGAAAGCGGTCGTTGTGGATTGATCTAGCCGTGGAAGTGGAGGTAAGTGTTTGGTCTAACTTTGGTT